GTCCCACAGGTCCTGTCGACCAAACTGACCAACTCTCTAGAGAAACAAGACATTTGGTGGTTTATGTGAAATCTGTCATTGTAAAGATGTTGGCAGTGAATGAAAAAACATAGGCCGGACACAGTGCTCACGCCTGTAATCCTAGCACTTTGGGTGGCCGAGGCAGGCAGACTCTATAGCTTTAGGAGTTTGAGACCCTTGCCTGAACAAATAGTGGACCCCCAACTCTACAAAGAAATACAAAAAATCAGGCTGGCGGTGTAGTGGCACCTGTAGTCTCAGCTCCTCAGGGAGGCTGAGCAAGGAGAAATTGCTTGAGCCAGGTGGTCGCGGTTGCGGTGAGCAGAGATCGTGCCAATGGCACTCGCCAGCTGAGTGATTGGAACAAGATTCTATCCTCAAAAAAAAACACAAAAAAACAGAAAAGAAAAGGAACAAGGAAAAAAGAAAAAGAACACAAAAGAAAAAAACATATACATATAATTAACTCTCATGGGCTGAGGTGTAGGTGGGTGTTTTAGTGTGGATGTATTTTTAGTGTTGGTTAAGCCTAGAAAGTCAACAAAGTTTGGAACAGGAGCCAGGGTCTCACAGTTGAGCAGGGCAATTCGCCGCTCCCAGGAACGATTTCACCTGGATCTCAGATACCGAACCTCAGAGTACAGCACCTGAAGCTTCCTGACCGCTGAGCCCGCTCCAGGCTTTCCCCTCTTTGCTACTCTTGCTCTCCTGAGTTCCTCCAACCTAAACTGGTCTAGCTCCAAGCTGCTGTCTCCAGAGAATCGATTCATGCCAAATGCCCATTCACCGTTTTTGTATTTTTTAGTAGAGACAGGGTTTCACTGTGTTAGCCAGGATGGTCTCGATCTCCTGACCTCGTGATCCGCCCTTCTCGGCCTCCCAAAGTGCTGGGATTACAGGCTTGAGCCACCGCGCCCGGCCATGCCCGGCTAATTTTCTAAACTTTTTGTAGAGAGGGGGTTTCGCCATATTGCTCCGTCTTCAACTCCTGACCTCAAGTGAACCTTCCACAACGACCTCCCAAAGCACTGGGATTACAGGTGTGAGCCAGTGTGTCTGGCCCTGATATGTTCTTAACATCCCCTCCCACTCCCACCACCACACCAGTTTGGAAGGTTCTAGAAGGTTCCTAGGACTGGGCTTTGTAGCTACAAAAGTAGCTTTTGCTGGATGTAAAGATTTGCAGTTATTTATCTTCCTTTCAGAATAAGGAGATTAAACTAAAGAACAGAAAATAGATGGCTAGGCGTGGTGACTCAAGCCTATAATCCCAGCACTTTGGAAAGCCAAGGCAGGCAGATCTCTTGTGGTCAGGAGCATCGCTACCAAAAATTACAAAATTTAGCTGAGTTTTGTGACCCGCACCTGTAATCCCAGTTACTCAGGAGGTTGAGGCAGGAGAATTGCTTGAACCAGGGAGGTGGAGGCTACAGTGAGCCAAGATCGCACCACTGTACTCCGCCTGGGTGACAGAGAGAGATCCTGTCTCCAACAAACAAATAAACAAAAAAAACAGAAAACATTGTGCTCTTAGACAAAATGCATCACACAATCCACCTATCAGGAGGCTGCTCGGGCCTGGCAGCAGGGTCGCCAGCCCTCACCTTGGTCAACGTGTACGTCCCCAGCAGGTTCAGCTCCAGCAGCTGGCGGAATCCCTGGGCAGAGGTCTCCTCAGGCCTCTGTGGGGGTGGGTCTAAAGTCGGGGGTGAGAGAGAGAGGAAAAGTGAGGGGGGGCGGATGCAGTGGCTCACGCCTGTAATCCCAGCATTTTGGGAGGCCAAGGCGGGCGGATCATGAGGTCAGGAGTTTGAGACCAGCCTGGCCAACATGGTGAAACCCCTTCTCTACTAAAAATACAAA